AATGATTTTAATATCACGATGGTCCCTTCCTCAACACCGCCAATCTGGTAACAGCTCTGCAAAACGAGGGAGGCTGCCCTTTGAAATATGTATAGCAAAGAGGCATTCGATCTGCCAACCACGGTGGTGGTTGGCAGCCGAGCCTTTACTCAATCACGATATCTGCTGTTGAGGAATGGCATGATAGGTAACTATAATAGCATGAAGGGGCTATTGAAGAGCGCTGGGTAAGGCCGTCTGCCATTTTTTGAACCGCGCATTCGATTTCCATGGTAAACTGTAATGGTTTTTGGTGTGCACGGCTTTTCGACATTTCCAAGATGTTTTCTGTTCGTGATCCAAAGCTATTCTCTCTACTCTGTCATCAAAATGCCATGAAGGGCCCACCATGAACCTAACAATTTTCGACAATTATGATCCTTTCCTCACTGCTATATTGCTTAGAAGCTAGGTTATCGATAAGGGCCTGGTTGGTGACAGCGATGGGGCAGCCCGCTGGTCAATTTCCAGCAAATATTCAGCTTATATAGATTAATATGTAGGAATCATATATGGCGATCAGAGGGCGGAAGTGGTGTAGTGGCAAGTGGCGCGCTTACCACGCGAGCGGTCCGGGATCAAATCCTGGGTCGTGAGTCGCCCGGGCCAACCAAGCCTTCCATCCCTCCGGGGTCGGTTAATTGGTACCAGACTTGTCTGGGAGGATAAAAACACTGACTTGTACATCGGCTGGCCCCCGCAAGTCATTGTATAGGCCACATCGCATTCAAACGCCACTACGAATGTACAAATGGAAGTAGAATGCGTGCCGCATCCCAAAAAGGGATTGATCAACGGCAAATGCTTTATCTTTTATGGCAAACAGGCCTTGCTGTCACCCCCTAGCACCTCATTGCAAATCCCTTCCCGTCCTTTGTACTAAAGGAATTTGATGATGAATGAGTGTGTGACGCGTTTCAGAAAGATTTGTAACCCCCAAGTGGCTCGTCCAAATCTTTTTATAGTATAGCTGTTGTTTTTTGATCACATGAAGACCTACTCTAGGGCGCCCATTTTGCCAATCAAATATTGTTGAGGATATTTTAGGTAGCAGGGCGTTTGTATAGATCCACCCACTGGAATGAGTGTCAGCCGTGCAGCTCTCTTGAGTCGTAGAGTGAATGCAGCATTAGTGAACTGATGAAAACCTTTGAATATTCAATGTTTTACACATAGATCCGTTGCGTTTTTAGAGTTCGGGCATTGAGCCCTGAAACTTTGAAGGGTCGATATGGAAATCACCTTCCGGCGCTATCGTAAGAAACGGGGGCATTGTGGTGAAAATGCTTTTGAAGCCGCGTTAAACATCTCCTTTTCGTTGAAGCCTTGACTGAGGTTTGGACGAGGGAAGAGTGGCTCCTGAGTACAAGAAATTATTTTCGTTTTCCGCAAGGCTCCCTACCGGGATTAGTCCTAGAGGACGCCCTGTCTTCTGTGATTGCGCCCTCTTATCTTCTCTAATTTTTCGGCAACGCATCTTCGCACTCATTTAGAACTGCAGGAGGGAGAAAAGGAAAAGGAATGGACTACGAAAAGAAGTGAACAACAGCGAATAGTCCCGCTGTTGTCTTCATGGTTTATCTTGTTCCTTTGAAAAATATACCCATGTCAAATAGACAACTCAGTGCGGACAAAATGTTGCAACAGATTCCGAGAGGCTGCTCCTCTATATAGAGAGGGCACTCTCAAACCAAAGTCTTGAACAATTCAGGCAATGGAAATCCTAAGCCGTGATGTGATGATTGTAAAGAAGGGCTGAACTTACTTTGAAGGCAACATTCGGCATCGAACTCTTGGTTTTCGCTCAAAATGAAAGCTGACGTTCAAAGATAATCAGTGAAGAGAAAAGCACTAGATGCCAGATGAATGTACTGATTTTGAAGCTTCCCCTTCAGTAGGGGCGACCACGGTAAGTACGACGCGAAGACACGCAACTCCGAGGCGAGAGACAAAGCAATGCACATTCTCCTTACGAGAGGGCCAGACACCTCCCCGCCTTGGCCGCGCCCCCTCCGCTACCTCGGCTTCCCCAACCCAGCCCCGGGCCAGCCCAAACGACCGGCCCTCACTAATACGCCGCCCCCCCCACCGTCCCCGCTCCGCCCATCCTACGTTCCGGCAGTCAGCACCCGTGTTCCAGTCCGGCCACTTGCCGGGCCCTCCTGAGCAAATTCACCCGTCCCCAAGGGCCCACCTCTCCCATCACACCAATTCAACAGTCAGGTGCGAAAGTACGTGGCTTAAACCCCTATTGACTCACCCCGCCCCTATGCCCTCACCTACCTCCAAGTCAGTAATATTATAATCCTCTACTACAGGAGAGTCAAAGAGGTACAGGCCCGAATTCCCGCCGCTGGATGGTGTCAGGAATAAGCCACGCTAAGCGACCATTCAGCGTTCCCCTTTATAGTAAACTCTCGATGTCACCTACAACGCGCCACTTTATCATGGGAAGGCAGCCATTTGGACCCAAGTTAGAGTTGCGTCAGTGATGCAACGCAAGAAAGAAAACATCGAGATGGCCTTAACAATCCGAAAAATAGTGATCCTCCTCCTGCCCGTTGATTTGCGCAATATGATGACGACTATCATGAGTGCTCGTAACCCACCCTTAACAGCTAATCCCGCTCTCCATCTGTGAATACACCTAGCCGACGACCCTCAGACGAACCAAGCAAGAGAGCGAGCCGGGGAAGGGCGATACAAGAGTTAATAGCGGCGCCAATAGGGCCGCGGCAAGGCCAAATGCTTACTATGCGGCTGTTTTTCTCCGTTAGGTAACTTATCGCTTCCCTCGATCTTTCGTCCTTCTCGTGAAGATCTCCTTCAGAAGAAGCGATCAACAGCTGATGAGCGGGAGAGCCAGGCAAGCTACTCCAATTCAGAATCGCAGACGGCATTCGAAAATACGGTTTGGCCTATGTCAACGACTTGAGGATCACCAGTATAAAAGGCAGTGTTTTCCTCTTCCCTGATACCAATTGACCGGCCTGGAATGGATGGTGCGACTGCTCGCTGCTGAATGCTCTGTCGACCTGGTCCAGGATTTGATTCTCGGACCGTGCGCATGCTAGCGGCGCTTCTTGCCACTTCACCACCTCCGCATTGGAACTATATGAAATTTTCTTTTCACTCAGTAACTCCATTGATCAGTAACTCCATTGAAAACTATCTGTAGCTGTGGAAAGTGTGTGAACTGACTGCATAGTTTAACCCTACACAATCAACTTTTAAACAGAGTTCCTGGTCACCAATTGAATCGTTTAGCTCCTCACAATCGTCGTGCTGATTCTGCTTGATCCAACCTACGTGACCGCATACATCTCGGTCAACTATGAGATCGTGCTCATCTACATTGTCTCGGCGCTCACTCTTCTCTACTGCATCGTATCCGTTATCATGTACTTTTTGCTGGCCAAACGAGGCGAAGAGACTCCGCTTACCAACTGTTCACTTTCGGTTAGTTCGAGAACACTTTCAGATTTTTTCATTCATATTTTTGATTGGATTTTCCAGTTTCTGAATATTGAGATATTGCTTTACTGTTTTTTTTTCACCGCAAAGGGTTACGAGCAGGACATCTGGCAGGACATCTGAATGCCATGCAACCGATTAAGATATATCCTTTCAGGGTAGTCATCTGTAGAACAAAACGACTTGAATCAAGTTGAATAGAAAGAAGAGGGGTTGCGTCCTATTCATGTTATCTTGCGCTCAACACCTGGTTTAGAGAATTATTTTATCTTTTCTTCCCTTCTCCTAGCTTTCAGTGAAGCAACTTCCCAGTAATTTCAAATTTTGGCACGCGAAACTTCACACATGGCCTGCATTGCTCCCCTTAGTCTTATTTCTGAAAAAACTGTAAAAAAAAGTGTCTAAGTTCGACTCTCGTAAATCTTGGCATTGCAAGAAGTTACTTTCAGTGAGGTTTGTTGAACCGCAACTAAAATATTATCAAAATTCTGTAACGAAACGTTAGCCGTGGTGATATATTGGTTGTGGCTCAACAAAGCCACGATTGTGAGATCAAAATTTAATCGGCACGTTGTTTTTAAGTTGCCATGTCCGAATTTTTTACTGAAGGTTCCGTTTTGAAAAACCCTGGTTCCTGCTAATCCCCTATCGATTTCATACTGTGTGGAACAGTGCTTTTCGAATTTGTGATTTTTCATTAGTTTCAATGTTAGCAGGAGTGAAGCACGTGGTGAAGGCCCTGAAAAAATCGATATCACAAGTGCTTTTTGATGCTCGTGATGCCAGTCTCTTACATAATCGACAATTACGGCACCTTTAGGCCGAGCAGAGCTTTCTTCTTATAATCGTTAGGGGCATATTGAAACGAAGATCTGGAAAAATATTCTCGGAAGTTTCACAAGAATGCTGGGTTGTGAACAAAACTTTCGCCCCAGGCGGGACTAGAACCCGCACCTCTCGCTTTCCGGGCAAGTGCGCTACCAGTTACGCTACCGGGGCACCATTTCATCCCAACTCAGCTTTTCATGGTATACGTACCATAGCTTTCAGCACTCACACGTATAACGTGTTGAGCCGGTTAGCCGATATCGGCAATGACCGCGAGGCTGAAAGCTTTAGCAATGAATTTTGACTTGTTTTTGTTGAGAAAACAGCCATTCTTGTGAAACATTCGCAAGGCGAACGGCGAGGCTAAAAACAGTAGTTAACGAAACAAAAAAATAAGACAAAATTAAGATACAGATAACCAGACTAACTATTTTTTTTATCTCGAATATTTATTGCATTTTCATCTTCCTTTGGTTACACGCAAAATTGACCAACAGTTCAAATTTCAAATGATGAATGCCCCATTTTATAGACCAAGTGGAGTCGTATGAAAGAAAGAATTGAGAGTGCAGGTCAAATGTAAACACTGTTCAGGAGGTAATCTTCTCCACGGCCGGTATTATGGGATGGCTGATCATCATCGGCATTGGCGGCACCATCTCTCAGCGTACCATCATCGAGACCGGAGAGCGCTTCGGTTGGATTGGGGTGAGTAACTTCTTTTTCCCTTACTTCAAACTTTTCCCTTATTTCAAACCCTTACTGAACGAAAGCCATACTTTTGATCACTCAATTCCTGTCCCAGTGTTTATAGATACATTTGATGTCACATAAGCATAATTTTCCCGAATTATCCTTCGATTTAGCACATCTCGTATTCTTTTTTTTTCGCTATCGCAAAATACGGGGGCATTATTGTCGCAACGCATTCGGAACCACTTAAGCATCTCGTTTTTGTTAGAAATGGAACTAAACCTCAGGCGGAGAGGAGAGAATCCAGAGGACGTGAGCAGTTTTCATTTCTCCCGAAGTTTCCCTCCTAGGCTTGGTTCTAGAGGATGCCCCGTATCTTGTGGTGGGGCCCTTTTTTCTCCACATTACGTCTGTTGTCACCTTTTTCTTGGTTTGTAAATTTCTCACTTAGAATTTCATTTATTTTTTTATTTTTTGATCTGTCCTGGTAAAGTTCTTTTGAACAATTCCGATTATTGATCGTGATCTAAAGGTCCAGTTCATGATTCATCATTCCTTATCCTCCTCATTCCTTTCCCGAAATTTTCCAAGGAGGTCACTTAGTTTCTCCATAATCAGATACGGAACGACAGCAGACTTAGTGCAGGGTACTATGAATTCCCGGCTCCTTTCTAACTTTTATCTCAAAATAATCCAAAATCGATAAACTTCAATTCATCGATATTTCAATTGAAAGTGCTCAGCCTCCTCCTATCGCGAAGAGCAAGTGATTCCTCCCCTCTAGGAGTCCCTAGAAATTTTTGAGCTCATTCACTGCCTTGTCAGTATCAGAGGACGAATTAGTAATGGAATCAAACATTATTCATTTCTCACCCTGGAAACTGCCGTGAAATTTTTAACATTCTAACGAACATGTGTTTCAGGAAAGCATAATTCTAACAAATAGGAATCATTAATGAATTTCGCATATCCTTGGGAAAACAAGCAGTTTGATCTCAGTTGTCGAAAGAAGAAGCCGGAAGTGGTCAAGTCAAGTGACAACCAGTGCAGTGACAGTGCTTACTATGTGCACAGGCCAAAGACCAAACTCTGGATTTTACGCCTTCCAAGCCAGCAGACCCTTCCTTCTCTCGGAGCTGGTCAAATGATACCAGACTTGTCTCGTACCAGGACAAGAACATTGAATCATGCAATACTAATTACGGCTCGACCCACAAATCATTGAATATGTAGGCGAAATCGCATCCAAATATCTCCAAGGCCCTGAATAGAAGTAGAATACGTGGCGCAACCGAAAAAGATTGGCCTAATCCCTTTGATAACTATTAGGTTGGTGAGGAAGTCTTGAGCCGCTTTGACATTTTTTTTGTTTTATTTTTTTATTCAACATAAATGGAATTCTACTCAACAATATAATCACCATTGCTACTCACTACAGTGTCCCACCTAATGAGCAGATCAGCGATCCCCTTTCCCTAAACTAAGAAGATTGGGAGTCAAATAGCTAAGAATGCCTCAAAGGAGACAAATAAGTGATGGTCGGAAAGAGCAGTGTAAGAGCAATACGGTGGCTAGGAAACCGCATCCCACCCGAGCTCCTCCAATTTTTCAGCGTCTCTTTAGCCATATTGGGCCTTGTGTTATCGTGGAAAGGGTGAACAAAAGCTGGTCTCGGTCGTCTTTCTTTGACTCCCAATCTCCCCAACTATAGAAGGACAGAATAGTTGACTTGTCCATTGGGTGGGATACTGTAGTGAGAAGCAATGATGATTACATTGTTGGGAAAACTTCATTTTATGCTGAAAAAAAAATAAAGAAGGAAAAACATCAAAGCGGCTCAAGAATTTCTTACCATCTTAATACATGTTTTTGGTCTGTTCGTGTTCGTGTATGTTCTTCTTGGTAACCATCGCTTATGCAGTAGAAAAGAACAACGAACTAGACTTCCCCTTATGGAATTCATAGGCAATGAAGCCGCAAACTTAGAGTACACTCTCAAAAGTTTACATTTTGTCTGTCGCTGAGGAGGAAATGGAACCATAGTTCATAGAAACTTGAAAGTCTTCTGAGAAAGTCAATAGTATTACGCAGCGTGCCTTTTCCGCATCACGCCGACTTCCTACCTAAGGGATCGGGCGAAATGTCTATTGTACTACCAGCTTTACTTCGATCCGATACCTCAGTAAATTTGCGAGTAATTGTCGTCTATATCAGTCAGGAGGTCATCATGATGCAGTTTTCTCAGAAAGCTAGGGTAACTCCGAGCCAAAGAGTGCAGCTAATCTACGGGGTTGGAAGCAGGGTCAACCGTCCGTTCGAACTGTTCGAACGAAGGGGTCGCATTTTGGTCGGAAGGGGGTCGCAATTTCGAGGACTGCCAGCCACAGGCGCGTGCGTGGCGTATCCGAGGGCAAGAATTGTTTGTGCAGACCGCATTAGATTCGATTTATTATGCACAGAGAGACAGTTTTAGGCAAATTACAGTGTTTTCTTAAGGAATAAAGAACAGTTGGATGCATCCCTATGAAAGGTTTGACTTCTCGGGGCTGAAAACAAAGTCGAAGTTTTTCTGATTACGAATTAAAAATGAAGTGAGTTATGCCCGCTTAAAGCCCAAAAACTCGCGATTTCAAAAAAAGTGTTCGGCAAAACCCCCCAAAATGTTCGAACGTGTGATTTTCTCGAAAAATGAACTTTGAAAAACGGTTTAGGGCTTTTAGAAAGAGCAAATCCTGTACTTTCACCCCATGAAAAAAGTGCATCACAGAAATGAAAATGAAGTGAGTTATGGTCGCTGAAAGCCCAAAAACTCGCTTTTGCACGAAAAATGTTCGAACGGGACAATTTTTTGAAAAAGGGGACAATCACTAAACTTTTTATACTGTTTTGTTAGAGAAATATTTGAAGTTTCTGAAACTTTTTACAGATTTCCAAAATGTCGCATACGAAAGATTTTATGGGCCTTCAAAGTTGAAGGTGCGCCTTCTTAGAATTTTGGGTTTTCTAGCGCTCTTTAACAAAGTACAGGGTTAGGCAAGTGACCCCCTCGAAGAGCTTGGGGTTCCGCAAAAATCGAAAAATGTTCAACGTGACTTTTGACCTGGTTGAGTGAGTCACTTGACATCGTGAAAGCTGGATGATCGATTCACACTAGTTCGCCGGAGAACTGCATAATATCTCCAATAACTGTATAACCCAATTGGTATAGAACAAGACACCTACTATTTCGGAACTAGTCCTCCACTGGTCAATAATTTATTATTTTACTGGTTACTTCCTAGTATTTTTGAATACAATTCAGAATTAATAATAATAATAATAATAATAATAATAATAATAATAATAATAATAATAATAATAATAAAATAATAATGATAATAATAACATATAATATATAGCCCCCTGTCCCACCTAATTACGTCGAACATCACTTTGGTACTTATTTTGCAATTCCGAAATTTTTTCTCTTTTCATATTTGAGTCTGCCATCCAAACACTCACATCCCCGTCACTCCATACAATCGTAATTAGCTTACAGGGAATTTTGTCGCTGATACGAATCCACAACACTGGCACACACACACACATACAAAAGTCGAGTTTGAAACACAACAGCGTAAAATTCCTCCCTGGGAAGGAGCGCTAGAGGTCAAACTGAGTTGCCTCTTGTTGACACGAGGATAGGGCCACACAGAGGAAGTGGAAGATCGGCTAGCTTGAGAGTCTCTAATTTTTTATGAATATTCTCCACAAGGTGGGTCGAACGACCTCAGGAAAAAAGCAGGCTTTGAATAATATAATCAAATTAATCCATACTTCTTCATCCTACTGTATTTACTAAACGAACGGCGGTCCCATCGCATGTCATCTCACCAAAAATATCTCTACAAGGTCGGACTAGAATAGGTTTGGCTTTTGCCAAAAACTCGCCCGAATCTCGTTCACGGCTACTAAATACTAAAGGATTTGAAAAACATTCACCCAGTCCAGCACTTCTTGTGAATAACTGATGAAAAAAACTAAGAGAAAAAACAAATCGACGATTTCAGAATCGAAAACGAGATGTTTCGACTCATGAGCAGCACGCGATACCAAATTAACATATTTTCAAAAATCGATATACACAAACTCTCCGTGATTTCTACCTTCCATTATTTAACAAGTCGGCGCACTGCTCTAGCAAAAGCGGCTACAATTTCCGTCAACACTAATACAGACTGATATTGCCAGTTGAGGGTATGGAATACTCTTATCATACAATTCAGACCGTTGAGTGAGGAGCGTGCCTTTGCCTATGACTGCTGTCAAATTCTCATATCTTTGTATGGCGATGAATAAGCATCTTAATCAGCAGTAAAAATAGTTCCAGAAAATTGAAATAATCTAAAAACGAAACAGCGAGCATGGCTGAGTAATTGAAACCGAAGACAATCATTCGAATCTACTTGGCAACATACCTAATAGATTTTTTTAATAACGAAAAAAGTGATTCACAATTATAAAAAAACCTCCCTAATAATAATAAAATAACTATAAAATAATAATGCATATTTCACAGCATTATTTCACCGTTCACGCTTGCTGAATCAACACCGGCATTTTTCTGGGAATTCCGCGCTTGTCACGCAGAAACCATGAATCCACGACACAATCCTGGCCAACGCGTCGAGTGACGAAATACGGAAAAGGATAACCGCAGTAATCCGTGTGCCTTTCCATTTCACCTCCCTCTCCTGATCTGCACACAGTCCGCATTTCAGTCTTTCCTGTTCTCTCATCTTGTTTTTCTCAATTACTGTAAGTTGAGTTGGATCAGTGCCAAATCTGTTGTTCGAGAGCAATTTAATTCAAGGTGCTCTTTCAACAATTTCTCTTCTACTTATGCTATGCTGCCTGTTTACATTTTTATCCGGTGTTTACCCACCGATAATGACGTCATTCACTTTGAATAGTCCATGATAATGTGATACACGAAAGTAATGTGATAAACCTACAGAAAATTCGAATAAACAATT